AAATAGATGACATCATTATCTACATATACATGATATTTAATGATGTTAATTTTTTTTTAAACAGTGAGATGGTGATTTGCACATTTTTAAATGTTGAGAGTCAGATTTAAATGCAATGAAAATTTATTGTACATTTTGAATATTTTTAAAAAGTTGAAGGTAAAATTAAGTATTTTGACTTATATATATATGTGCACATGTATATATCAGTTAATAAATATTTAAACCGACATTCCATAACTAAACAACTTCAACTCCTTTTTATGAGATTGTAGATTCTTATTAAGAGATTAATTGTATTGTTATTAGTATATAAATACTATCTAATTATTAAAATATTAATTTTTATGAGTGTCTATACATATATCCATGAACTGTGTTAACAGTTTATATCTTTAACATGCAAACACTACACACTTGAGTCTAAGACCATCACTAGTAGACCAAAGAGAACAACTATTATCATCTACATTTGACACCCAGAAATAAAACCAGAGTAAAAACAATTTGTAAAAACTGAACTGCCGAAGTCAAAAGAAGAATACACCAGTTAGGCCTCTTAACCTTTATGTAGTTAAAGAGTAATCTTTTTTATAAAAAAAGAAAATAGTAGTTTGAGCAACAAAATGTGGGGAGAGGAAAAAGATAATATTTACCATTGCAGTAGAGGCAGCACCGAAAATGGCAATGAGTGAGAGAACGGACACTTGACCGATGAACGTGGCCATGGCTTCAAAAACCAAACCCCATACACGTATGGATGCTGCAATTTATTCGAGCAAGCAACACAAAAACGAATAACATTAGGAATTACAATCATTGGGAAAGTTAGGGACGTAACCAACTAAATGATCAATTGCAAGTATCTTACCTAACAAGTGACTCAATTGTTCTCAACAAGAAAAAAGAAACAAGTGATTTTTTAGTCTTTCGTTATCCAAGAGGAACTAAGTAATATATTATAATTAAGTATCGAAGGCACTTCCTTGCATTTTGAGATTGAACTTAGGATCAAACCTTCACTCATTCTTAATAAGAAGAAAGAGTAGCAGAAATTCTAACTTGGGTCTTCACCAAGTACAATGATTTTTCTCCGAAATAAATATACTAATGCATATAATCAACTAAGAAATCATTCATTCGCCTTTACTTTATCTAAATTTGTCGGTCAATCTAACAGGCTTGTTGAGCATCACAAACAAAACAGAAATTTCTTTCATGCAGAAAAAGAAAGCACGAGGTAAAAGAAGCAAGTTACTGATGATAGAAGACAATGCCCTTTACTTGATAACAGGAATTTCCATGCTCTAAACAGCTCCCCCGTTAGAATCATTGGTGCAAGCAAAAAAGGCAATCCTACTACTGTTGAGCAAAACAGCATCTCCATCTGAAGAAGAAGAACAAACAAAAAGTTCACCATTTTGTACTTCTACATCAAATTTACATTGATATGCTGACTAATAACTATTATCACCTGTGTTGTATTCGGATTCATGGTAAAAATTGCTTCTTGAAAATTACCCAGAAAGGCATCCATTATTAAAGCACCCGAAATCATCAAAATACCAATTAGGCTGAAATTTGGAGATGTCTGGGCATCTGCCAAGGTGAAAAGAATAAGGCCAGCAACCAGAAGCACAGCAGAGATGTATTCATGAACCGAGTACTTCCTTCTCAAGCCAGGGATGAAGGCACCCATTACCATGACAGGCAACACCTAAATTTAAAACAAATGTTATATCAGAAGCTATTCCAATGTTATGTTTTGATCTTTCGTGTTTCCAAATCATGAGGCAAAGTTTGAATATGAAACAAAAATTACAAAATCACCTTTCCAGATTACCTTGGTGGATTTGAACATGATTTGTGCTGGATAGTTAAGATAGGCCAAAGAACCCTTTGTTAATCCATGAGAACCCATGAGAACAGCTGAGAGTTTCACATAAGTTTTCCATGGGTTTATCATTCGCTTCATGGAGAAACCTTGGAGACAAATGAGCAATAGGTATACAAATCCTTGTACGAAAGTGAAGTACCAACCATAGCTGTAAAACAAAAGAACCATGAAATTAATGAACATATTTGACATAAACACAATAAGTTAGACCTAAAAAAAAAGCTGAGTTTGTGAAGCTGCAATGATAGAAGTACCTGAATTGAAGCCGATTATATACATATTCCTAGAATCAATTGAAAATGATGTTAATAATCTTATACAACCAACACGTATAAGAAATTTATGATTGTTCATACAATGAGAAATTAATAGTGGAGATTTAAAGACCAAAACAGTAACCTAGAACAATTCCTAAAATGAAAGACCCGCGTGCATGTTTATTTTAACTCAACTGTAAAATAACTATAGCTTTATGCCGCCAAATATTTGAACCCCTATTTTGGATGCAGAGAAAATGAGGCATCATGAGAAGAATATGTAAAAACTTCTGCCCAACTCAAACCTTATCAATATTTACGAGAACCATCATTTGAAAACTAGAACAGCATAATGAGACTTGAAATTCCCATTCCTTTCTTTTTCCATATATTCTCAGCAACCAAACAGAGAGCATCCCCAACACATGCAAAGTGGAAAACTCAGACCCAGAAAAATAATAATCAACCAACCAATCAAAATAAAAACAACCATATTAATTAGCCGAGAAATAAGCAAAATTCTTGACATACACATGGAAGCAATATATACACACATTTACTTGAGGTGAATTATGTGCACTCCAAATAAATTAATTAAACAAAAATAAGGATCAAACAAACCTCACAGATGCCATTAACGAGATAACCAAAGAAGAAACCAGAACAGCATATGAACAATTGTTGCCATTTGGGTCGATCAGAGAGAGAAATACCAAACAGGGACCTTGCTTGCTCCTCGTTCTTCATATCTTCAAATCTTCTGATATTAAAAAATCAAGCCACCCAAAAGAGGAAAGAGCACAAAAAATAAAGGGTCCTAGAGATTGGTGCACAAACTGACAGTGCATGCAATTTTGTTATTGAATTAGAAAGTAAGAATTTGATCAAAAAAAGCAGAAGGGTCTGCCACAATAACACGAAGAAGAAAGGTATCAGAAAAATAATAATAATAAAATAACGAAATGTTTTCTGTATATTTGTGAAACGAAAGAGGGAGACTGGGAAGAATGCCGCCTGCTTGTTCTTCACATGGCTAAAAGTGAAAAAGGACTCCAAAGGAGGGAGGGATTTTTTAAAGAAACTGAAAAAAGAAGACTCTCGGGTCGACCGGCTCAAGTATCTTGAGCCGGTTCGGATTTTATTCGTTTGGATTTTGGGAACAGACCGAGTACTGACTTGGCATGTCAGATTGATGAACACGTATAGACTCCATCTAATTTATTAATTATCGTACATTTCACTTTGTTTTTTTTCGTGTGCGTATTTTTTTGTAATTTTATCTATAATACTTTTTTGTGACTGGTACGAGGATTCTAATAATTTAATATTTCAATTTAGTAAAACTATTAGTAATTCTTTGTTACAATCAGATTTCGTTTAGGTACTATAATCTATTTTATAAGTATCTAAATATGTAATATCTGAAACTAAAATTTGACTCAAAATTAATTTTTTTAAAATAATAATAATAATAATAAATATATAAATATATAATTTTTAATTTTATAAATTTTTGTTTAATGTAAACTTAGAAAAAAAAAAGGGTAGATAATAAAATTGAAAATAATTTTAAAAGAAATGTGTGAAAATTTGGATTCGGGTATATTTTTGAAAGAAAAATTAAAAATTGGGAATCAAAATACAATTTATAAAAAATATGTGCCACGTAAGACCATCTAATCAGTAGCTCCGACGAACCGGAGTGCGCCGCGTGGCAAGGCACGCTGATGCGGGGCCATATGAGAGGTCATGCTGGTAATCCGCGTGTCCACGATCAGATGGTCCAGATTTGTTCCCGCGCGCGTGAATGGTTCGGATCCGTTCCCTCCTCATGTGCGATCGGACGGTCGCGATTAAACACGATGAACGACTCAGATTCGTTCACTCTTTAAACGGGATTGTACGGTCCAGATCAAATTGCAATAAACAGTTTAAATTCATTTCTTCTTTAAACGTGATCGGACGGTCGATATCAAACGTGATGGACGACCCATATTAAAAGGAGACGGATATAAATACTTCACTTCACACTGAACCCTAAGCCTAGCCGCCCGCCCCCTGCCAGAGAAGAAGAATCAATCACCAGAAAAAGGCATCGACCGTCGCACCGGAGCCACCTTCGACCGCCAAAAGAGGTAAAAAAAAATTTTGTTCGCTTGAATTTTGATTTTGAACACCCTCATGGCCAAATCGGAGTAAAATAACCGGCGGATGAGCTAGAAATCGCGGGTAAAGTCCGGCGGCATCGCCGCAAAAAAACCAAAAATCATCTCCGATGAGCCTCTTCTCGATTCCTATTTTGTGCTATTTTTTCACAATTATAATTACAATTTTATTTTCTACAGGTTAACCGAAGAAAAATGTCCAACTACGAAGGTAAGCCAGTAGAGCCGCCGCACTGGAAAATCTGGCCACTAGTGAGTTTTTGTTTTTCGACTTTTTCGGCCAACTAATGCGCCCTTAACGTGTTTTCTCGCATTAATGAGTATAAAATCGGCTCAAAACGACCAGTCCGAGGCAAACCACTGCCGTCGTGCTGGAATTTTAAAATTGACCGGAAAAGATTTTTAACACCGATTTTAGATTTTTTGGAGTATTTTTAGGTACTTAAAGTGTGTTTTAAAGTCCGAAGGAAAATTCAGGAAATCCGAAGACCGCCAATAGGCGCAACTGTGTTTTGGACACCGATTTGGGTAAGAATCTCGCACCTTATTCCCTGTTATGGAATTGAAGTTTAATTATAAATAATACGGTATTTTGTGTAATTTAAAAAATATCGATAATTAATTACAGATTACTAATGGAGTCGGAATCAGTTATTTATTATTGTTTGTCATATTTTAACTGATTGTTTGATTTTACAGTTTTGAATGCATAATAATACATTGGAATTAGTAAAATGATTCAGTTGTATTTTCTGGATGCATGTATTGCTTATTTTACGTGATTTATATCTAAATTGTGAAACTAAAAATTAAATGTAAACAGAAATTATTTGATTAAATGAATAGATGAATGGTAACCTTACTGGATATCCTGTGAGATGGTTGACAGATTAGGTACATAAAAAACTCTACTGTAAATGTTGCTTCATACCAGATGGGATATCGAGATTTGGTATTTTGGCACTCATACCGAACGGGGTATGGGAACAACCCGTTTCACCCTCATACCAAACAGAGTATTGAGGATGGTATTTTTGGCTCTCATAACGAACGAGGTATGGAGATGACCGGTCAGTTGATAATGTTGAATAAGGATTCACGCGTAGTAGGAACATCCCTATGTATCCCCATGGATACTAGTAGACAGATAAAAAGAGAAAGTTGTTGTTCTAGCTAATTGAAAATGAGATCATGATGTTATTTATGTTATTGCCTCTATAGGGCAATTTTGAAAATCTCGCTACAATAAGTATGCAATAAACGATTTTATTTATAATAAATGAATTTACTTAAATTAAGATCTTCATTAGTTGCTTTTATGATTTTTACCAACCTTCATTTTTTTATCGGTGAGTAGTGTGACATTCTTACTTGGCTAGTGTAACTCACTTTTTTGTTAACTATTTCAGATCAAGAGGAGTAAGATTAAGATTCTGATCCACAAGAGAGTTGCGAATAGGATGTCCAGTTGTTTACTTTCCATTTATTTATTTGATTTTTAGTTTATTCTTTTAGAATGGTCATTTCAGTACCCCTATTAGGTATTCTAAGTTATTGTATAATGAATGTAAACTCTAACTTTATTATTTCGTTTTCGCATTTAATTTATAATTTATTTCCTTTTAATGTTACAGGTTGTTACAAAATATTTATATTTACCATTTACAATGAAATCAAAAGTTTTTTGGTACATTATTTTTAATCAAATTACACTAATAGGATAAATTTTTTTTTACTATAATCGTTCTTATGTACTATAATCTAAATTAATGCCAAAATGTTAAAAAAAATTATTTATTTTTTATTTTGAAATTCAATGTGTAAAATCTTGTGGTATGGTTATGATACTATTAATATTCTATTACATAATATAAATTTTGATATGATAACTCCCGAAAAAATAAAATATATATGTTTACTTTTAAATCTGCATTATAAACTTCAAGCTTTATCTAAGATAAAGTGATAAAAAAATGTCTTGAATGCATAATAAATTTTTATACTATTTTCGATTTTCTATTTAAGTCTTTATACAATTTTTTTTTCTATTTAATTGTCATTATTTTCAAAATATATTGAAATAAATTCAAACTATTAAATATTGTTTAACTTCTTTTAAAAAAGGTATCATATGTTATTGATGCGCCATCAGGGTAAATAAGAGACATTCTTTTTTAAGGCAACCATTTCCATACCACATCAGATGAAAACACATTTGCTATTTTTTTCTCCTTCCCAAATTTCTTATCTTTCTTATTCTTGTTGGACTTGAATGCATTTGTTAATGAATTTATTAACGTCATATTTTTTTTTAATATTTTGTAAAAATTTAATTTGATCCGCATAATTTTTAGAATCTAGATTTATAATATTGCTACATAATTTTTCTATAAACAAATTAACCTTAGCTTTTGTGGTTAAAATTTTTAAAATCTCTGTAACTTTTACTTATTCATTCATTAATTATATAGTTGTAAGATGATTGCAATGAAATATGAAAATCGAGAAAAAAAATAAATATGTGATTTCATGACTAAAGAAGTTCAATAATTAAGAGAAGAAAAACTATAAAACTTTTGCATTAATTTATATCTTCAAAATGGATAGATATAGGTCTACAATGTATACATAAGTAGAATATTATAAAAAGAAGTAAATGAACACATAGGAAGTCATAATTAAAAAAAAATGTAAAAGTCTGAGACCTTAAAGGAAATTAATTTATAATTTAAATACGGAAGTAGACAATAGAGTTAGGATTTACATTTTTTACACAGTAAATTAGAATGTCCAATAGAGATACATGAATGTCACTACTACAATATTTTGTAAAAATAAGTAAATAAATATTTTAAAACAAATAGATAAATATCATAGGGATTAACCTCCACTAATTCTTGAAGGGGTCCGAAAGGTAAACTACTCACAATTTTCTTACTGATCGAGATCTAAATCCTAATTTTCTTGATCTAAAATGGTTAATTAAAGGGTGAACTATACTAACTCAGTAAGAATATCACGCTAATAATGGATATGGAAAATAAAAGTTGGTAAAACTCACAAAACAACTAACAGAATCATGAAGAAAATCGTTTATTCCATACTTACTGTTACGAGTTTTTAACAAATCAACCTATAAAAACCAATATCCATACAACTTTTTAATTTCATGCACAAGTGAACAAAAAACGACAATTTTTCTTTCTTACTTGCTTACTGGTACATCTGTGGGTCCGTAAAGATGTCTTCCTATACGTGAACTAAATATCCAAATTTATCAATTAACCAGTTGTCTCTATACTCCGTCCAGTAATGGGCGCTAAATATTTTATCGCATCGATACATCGTCCGGTATGAGGGTAAACTATATATTCTAAAGCTTTCGGTATGAGACTTCCGAGCCCTGTCTGAATGAGGTAACGTTCACGGTAGGGTTCTCTATGTACCGAGCCCATCCGTCATTTTTCAATATACCAAATAAACTTTTCACATAAAGATCTCCATCAAAAAATAAACACAAAACACATGCTAACCTCTCATATTATATTCATAAATTAATTAAACAGTATTTATGCAAACAACACAACTTCATACCTTAATAATCAAGAAACGTACTCAGGACATTTATTTTCAACTTAGTTAATCAGATAAAAATTACAATCAGACAATCAATAACGAGCAAGCAATTAAATATGATAATTTAAATCATACGGCGGAACAACAAGGAATTTAGGCAGTACAGAAACATAAATATGCAACACAAATGAGTTTAGGACAAACGTACACTGATCAATTTTTCGACTTCACTAGTGATCTGTAATTATTATTATAATTTTTTTAGTTTTTACAAAAACACAC